TGCGACTCAACTGAACCTTGGTGCAACTTTTTCGAGTCCACGTTCAACTACCTATGTGGTGATTGATTTCATACCATGCATACACTCTCACCCAGTGCGACTCAACCGAACCTTGGTGCAACTTTTCCGAGTCCACGTTCAACCACCNGTTTTGCCCATTTCCACCATTGATGGGTGTCTCCCTCAAACTGGAAAGTGGTCAATCGTATCTTCGTGGCATCAGATGCAATCTCCATTGCTTCCAAAATTTTGTCCACCTGTTGGAACCAATTATCAGCTACCATCGGATCCCCTCCTCCTACAAAAGTTGGTGGGTTGTGGGACCTAAACTTCTGCAGGTTGTTTGAGCCTCCTTGGCCCACATTAGAACTAGCTTGCAAAAAGGTGGCGGTCATCGCACCCATGGCCTCTATAAAGGCTTGTTGATCAAAAGCCGGTGGTGGTGGTTGGTTGTTTCGTCCACCCCGACGTCCCCTTCCTCTTGTTGCCATCTACACACACATAAGATAGCAATAGACCACTAACTTAGTATCTCAAGGTTAGGGATCAAAGTTAAAACAGTAGAATATATACCTATCGGTAAATGTGCAAACAATAGGCTTACACATCCTTTTCCTTCCCAACTCATGGTTTCTAACCATAGTACCTCATTCCTATATNAAAATATATACCTATCGACAAATATGCAAACAATAGGCTTACACATCCTTTTCCTTCCCAACTCTAACGTTACGGTTTCTAACTATAGTACCTCATTCCTATATACATTTAATCATGCATATAATCTCATAACACATAGCATGAAAGATTTAATACATTTAACATGCAATACAAACTGGAAGCAATGACTTAAACCCATGCCCTGTAAGCCCTAGGTAAATCGTGAACCTAGGCTCTGATACCAAACTGTGACACCCCAAAGTCCGGGTGTCTGTAATTATCCGATTGGTTATCCATCGACCTGTGTAATACTGGTGGATATCGTGTAATTTGATACCACACCGTTATGCCCCATTTCTTGGGATCCATAACTTAACAAAATTTGGACAGAGTCTCCTTTGTACAAGGAGCTCTACCCAAAACGCAACCTGTACAACATTGACCACACCGGGTCTATCTATCCATTCACAATTATATAGTCTCGAATACTACCATAATCATTATCAGTACATACATTTATTCGTAAAAGAATAAATGTCCCAAAAGAGTCCCATATACATGCCTTTGTAAATATAAACAATGTTTGTTACAAAAATTATACAAGGCCAAAAGTAAGTATAAACAAGGGACTACAATGTCAAAATAAAAGCCACAGACCGGCTCTGTCGTCAAAGCGGGCCCATGGCCTCGCCTTCGGTGGAAGCCTGTGCGATACCTGAAAAATGTTCCCATAAAGGGTGAGCTAACGCTCAATAGGGTAACTCCTATAGAGAATACCTCTCAACCTAAATGAATATGGAATGTCACATGCAACAATCATTTGATACATTCATTTAAATATGTCTATTATGATTGAATGTTATAGATCATGTCATGCCATGAGATGAGACTCACGCAAGCAATACCAACCCCGAGCCCCATCCTGAGCTCCCATAACACATGCAATGTCATGCGTATGTATCCGAGCATTCCAAGCCCCCATCATTGGTGTTATGTACACTCAATGCTAATTAATTCATTTTCTTGTGTCTTTGTGGGGAGATGATTTATGGTATTACACCAATGGGACACCAACCATCAACGGATCTTCAGGACATCCCACCTGCGGCTCCGTTTCCGCCGTTACACTTTTTTGGAATTTCACCGCCGGAAAGTGTATAAACCAAGTAAGCGGGTCTTGCACCCGAGGGAGAATCTAGCCCTTCGTGCTGTCCCCAACACATTTATCCATTTAATTTCTCGTGCGACTCAACCGAACCTTGGTGCGACTTTTCCGAGTCCACGTTCAACCACCTACGTGGTGATTGATTTCATACCATGCATACACTCTCACCCATGTCAATGCCCATGAATGTAGTGCAACCCATGCATAATGAAATACAATGTAATGACATTTTAACACGATCTCAAGCATGTTATGTAAGATAATCAACTCAACTAACATACTTGTATTCACCTAGGCATTTAATCAAATACCTAAAGAGTACATCAATTTGCACAACTAGCATGCTATGACTTGCAACATGATAACATGTTTAACATAAGCACAAAGTCCACCAAAATAATCATATGTTAAATAATCATTTAACATATATATATTATTTCACAATCATATAACAAGTTAATAATTTTATTAAACTTGATCTGCCATTAAAATATAAAGTAATGCTAACATACAATTAACATGCTTTAAACTACTAACATTAACTTATACCAAGTTAATCACAATAGAATTTTATTAATCACAAGATTAATTATAAATTCTATATTTGACCCACTAGTCACATTAGTCAAGACCTAACATGTGATATACACTCATAATCTACTCATTCCATATGTCATATTTTAAGTTGAAATTAAATCTAAATAGGGGAAACCCTATCTCTCGTAGCGTGAGACCACTTACTAGAACGCCAAGGAAGTCCAAATTTAGCTTCCTAAGTTTTAGGCCTAGATTGTCGGCTTTGATATTCCTTCGGAGAAAAATACGATATTTGGTGTGGTTGCGTAGCTCTCGCTGAGTAGAGCAACTTTAGTTTTTGGCCCGAAGCGATTAAACGGTTAAATTTTCGAAGATCTGAGAAGGAAGAAAAGAGAAAAAAAATAAAAAACTCATTTTTTTTTCTCACTCACTCTGTCTCGCCGGCTGGAGAAGAAAATAAAAAATGGAAGAGAAAGTCTTCCACTTATATATATATATTTATTATTATTTTTTTTTTGAAATTTATGTTTTTGACCCATAATTTAACAATTAATTATTATTTTACCCCTTTTATTAGAATTTTTAATAATAATAATAAATTTTTTTTTCGGGTTTTAAAANAATTATTTTTTGAAATTTATGTTTTTGACCCATAATTTAACAATTAATTATTATTTTACCCCTTTTATTAGGATTTTTAATAATAATAATAAATTTTTTTTTCGGGTTTTACAAAAGTGCGTTCGTATTGATACGAGGACATTAAGGATAGTGATGAAGAGAAGGTTTTAAAGGGATGAATAAGACATTTAAGAGAGTNGAATTTTTAATAATAATAATAAATTTTTTTTTCGGGTTTTAAAAAAGTGCGTTCGTATTGATACGAGGACATTAAGGATAGTGATGAAGAGAAGGTTTTAAAGGGATGAATAAGACATTTAAGAGAGTTAAATGATATGCAATCCATTACCGACTTGTCCACCTTTGACGATAACTAACCCACCACTGACCAAACAATTGTTTAGGTATGAAAGTCTCTCTTACTAAGACTCTCTATATTTATCTATTTCTCATGTAGACACACAACACACAATACATGCACAAACACACACACATAACTGTAACCAATCAAACATTCGCAAATTAAACTCACACACCATTATATTGTCACAAATACAGATTTATGATTGAAATCATTAAGCAAATGAAACGTTTGTTGAAATGATACTAAGAAAATCTTATTTGATTGTAAGTCTCTACATTCTTCTATATCTTTTCTTAAATAAATTGATAATTTGTTACAAACTCTCTAAATTCTTACTTATATCANTTAAACTCTCACACCATTATATTGTCACCAATACAGATTTATGATTGAAATCATTAGGCAAATGAAACGTTTGTTGAAATGATACTAAGAACATCTTATTTGATTGTAAGTCTCTACATTCTTCCATATCTTTACCTAAATAAATTGATAATTTGTTACAAACTCTCTAAATTCTTACTTATATCAATCTAAATCATTTCCCCCCTCCCACTACATACAAATGTGTGTGCTCATTTATTTTTTAGATAATTCAAGGTAATATAATTAATTATATTGAATCCAACTAACGAAAAAAGTAAGGGGTTTTATATTTCGAATTTATAATTGTTTTATTTTGACTCACATATTTCGATAATTTTTATATTTCAAATATTTTCAGGTATACATTGAAGGATACTTGGTCTAAGTTGTAAAGAATATGAAGTTGTTTCNTATAATTAATTATATTGAATCCAACTAACGAAAAAAGTAAGGGGTTTTATATTTCGAATTTACAATTGTTTTATTTTGACTCACATATTTCGATAATTTTTATATTTCAAATATTTTCAGGTATACATTGAAGGATACTTGGTCTAAGTTGTAAAGAATATGAAGTTGTTTCTCTATTTTGTGCATGTGTGTATTTTTTGTGTTCCGTCTTTTGTAAAGTTAACTAATTATACATAATTATGATGATTTTGGGTATGGAATGATGGTTGTTTTGGTGGTTTGGGTATGTAGTGATNAAGAAATTTTACAGAAATTTCTTGAAATTAGTAGGGATTAACTTGATGTTTTGGTGGTTGGATATATTTTGATGATTGAATATGTATTAATTATTGTGATGGTATAATAAATTATGATAACATTATATCTAATTGTAAGTTATTAGTTAATGTAGTATTTTTCGAGTTNTAAAAAAAAATTTTGCAGAAATTTCTTGAAATTAGTAGGGATTAACTTGATGTTTTGGTAGTTGGATATATTTTGATGATTGAATATGTATTAATTATTGTGATGGTATAATAAATTATGATAACATTATATCTAATTGTAAGTTATTAGTTAATGTAGTATTTTTCGAGTTTTAATCTAATGCCATAACTAGTCCTCTAATACTTTTGTACCCAACGATGGCAATATCGTAATAAGATTCGAAAATCCAGGGCAATTTAGTAAGAAGATCAAAAGACTTTCAGTTCATAACAGACAGCTGCTTACAAAAGGGAAGAGAAAAACCTCCCTTTCCCTCTCATCCCTCTCTTTCTCTCTCTACTCTTCGATCGGACCACAAAGACAACAGTTGGATGCTTTTAAGGAAACAAAATGGACGCCGACGAGGTAACAATCCAACAGTCATTACCGCAATCTGACTACCCACATGCACCGCCCACGGCGGCGCCACCGCTAACAACCACTCAACTACTGTTTTAACGGTTTTTTTATTTGGTTTTTTTTTTTTAAATGGTGATCGATTTTGATCTTCTTTTTCTTTACTCCATTGGTGTTATGAGTTTTTTTTCCTAAAGATTTTTGATGGGTTTGTGATTTTTTTGAGCAGAGATTAACGGCCTTGAAGAAGGCTTATGCCGATATAATTTTGAACACCGCGAAAGAGGCGGCAGCGAGGATCATGGTGTCGGAGAGAAGAGCTCTTCGTTTTCAGCACGAGCTGTATGTGGCAAAAGAAGATGCTCTTCAGATGCTACAGAGACTCAAACGGATGATGGATTCTAAGGTGAGTTCGTTCTTTCGCAAGTGGGTTTTGATGTTGTTTCGATTTCGAATTTTTTTGTTATTTGTGTCAATGTATGTGTTTTTGTTGCTGGGTTGTTAAATTGGATTAGTTTTTGGCTGTTTGCTTAACGTGGTTTTTGATGTAGCTGCTGTTTTGTGATTTAGTTGATGTTTGTGATAATGATTTTCCTGCGTAGATGAATTTGGTTTGTAGGTTTGTAGGTTTGTATGTTTATTTGTTGTTTAAGTCACCTAGGGGTTCTTTTTTCGGCATTCACTTTGGTGAGAAAAGTTTGCTCTGATTGTGTTTAGTGTCATTTTTTTTTCCTCTTGAAGTGATCTTTATATAATATAATGCTCATGCTTTCTTTTTTGTGTGACTCGATGTATTTTCTCAGAACTATCTATTTGTTTCTTAGATAACAGTTCTTTTCTATGTGATGGGTTTTCTTAAATTTGCACCATTATTGGGAAATAGGGAAGCTTGTTTGAATTTCCCAAGTTTCCTCACCGATCAAGTAAAAATTCTCAAGTTTTATGACATGAAGCATTCAAAATATGGCTACGTCCAATACACTGGCCGGTTGTGTTGGCGGTTACATCCTCACCATAAAAATAGAAACTTAGGCCGTTAGTCAGTGGCAGATTACAAGTTGGAGGCCATGGCTGTGAAGATTACAAAAATTGCCTTTTGGGCCCATTAAATTCGATGTAATTGCCCAAAAACTATTAAGGTAACACTCAGCCTCCCAATATTTTCAAAATGGCCCACCAAATCGAATTTTGTATCTTTTCTCGGTTCTTAATTTGCCACGCCAATTTCAAACTTCTGGCTCTGCCTCCTGCCATTACTTACTGCTATACAGTTTGTTGGGCCATTGAAATATTACCTACTTTCTTTATCGGAAATGTTTTGTGAGAATTTGTCGTCTATCTTTTTGATGTAATGGTGTGTGGTAACTTTAACATGCGACCAATCATGAAGAACAACAATGAGAAATTCGTTAATTCATGATCATGATGTTGTAGTTGTCTTTTTTGTGGAGAACTGAGTGGATTCATCTGTGAAGGTATTTGAATATCTTATCTTGCTTCTCAGAGTCAAAAGTTTTTTTTTTGTCTTTCAAATGCAAATTACAAACTTACCTTAGGATCGGCGACAATCAACTTTTAATGCTATNTCCATGATCATGATGTTGTAGTTGTCTTTTTTGTGGAGAACTGAGTGGATTCATCCGTGAAGGTATTTGAATATCTTATCTTGCTTCTCAGAGTCAAAAGTTTTTTTTTTGTCTTTCAAATGCAAATTACAAACTTACCTTAGGATCGGCGACAATCAACTTTTAATGCTATCAAAAGTGCAAAGTGATATCGAAGTTTATTTTGTCATATTTCTTTTTCTTCATTCCCTTGTTGCTATAGTCATGAAACCCACTTTAAAAGTATCTCATCTTATATATGGACAAATATTTCATTGTCACCAATCATTTTTGGCTATGTATCTTTTAGCATTCAATGCTGCACATAGTATGAAATCTAAAGTGGCTTGCGTTTCATTGGAGTTTAAAAAACATTTTAAATGGATTAATAGTGGTAATGAATTCATGAGTTATATCTTTCTATCCAATTACTCTGCTTCACACTTATTGTATTGTTCTTACTTTCTATTTCCAATTGCATCATAAAATTGCAATGTTCCTCCGAAAAGGAGGGCATGAGAGACAAATGACCTACCGAAATTGCTTTCTTGTTTAGTCGGAGAGGAAAAAAAAGGAATGATAAACTTATGATACTATAGGTAAATTATAAATTTAACATTGTGAACTATGTTAAATTTGATAAAATTGATCTTCGTTAGGAGTTTTTGCTAGGAGATCCTTTAGTTTCTTTGGTTGATCTCATCTATTTAAGCTCCCCAGTTTTGCTCGTTGAATGATAGTTTTCACTTTTATCTCATTACTTTCATTTTAGTGTCCTAATAGAGCGACANCTCGATTGGCTTGTTCTAAGGTCCCCAGTTTTGCTCGTTGAATGATAGTTTTCACTTTTATCTCATTACTTTCATTTTAGTGTCCTAATAGAGCGACAACTAAAACAAGGCTGCCAAGTGCACGAGGCTCTCACCATTGTTGGATCTAGGGAGTGTCTTTGAATATTTATTAAGCAATCTCCTTTGGATTTCTCAATGTTTTTCAAAGAATAGATAGATGATTGAGTAAGAAACATTGAAGCTTCTCTTATTATTAAGTTGTCCTTAAGGAGACTCATTTGTTAATCACCATCTCAGCTGACTGTTTAAACTAATAGAAAAGGTGTAATATATTTATTTGACACTACAGTTCTAAAAAAAGTAGTACACTGAGATGTCGGGGGCATGTTACAAATAGTTATGTTTTTTATATTAAATTATATTATGACAAGTAAACAAATAATTATAGTGTTGTTCATAAGTAATTCAATACTTTATGACAAATACATCTTATGTCTAGTCAACTAGTGTGAATTTTTAGACTCAACGATCATAGTAGTCAATACTCAACAATGTTTTCAAGCAATGTGTACAAAATACATAATTATAATGATTGTTCTTATCTTCTCAATTCCTCCTTTTTAACAAAACTTTCTATGCATCTTCTGCTTTTATTAGTGCACAGTACAACTTTAGTGTGATTAGTTTCAACAACTATAGGTTCTTTCATAGTATAAATAGTTGTTTTGCCTAATTTTTCGATTTTGTGAATTATATGCTTAGGCATGTATATTTTCGTAGTAAATATGGCCTATGGCCTAAAAAAGCATCAAGCACTCCACCAAGTAGTGTTGGATGCATGTTCCAAATTAGAACTTTGTCTTATAACAATGGGAATTAATAAAGGAGTATTGGACGTTTGTCAAAGAGTATCCGAGGAGTGCTGGTTTCCGATGCATGGTTGAGATGAATATTTTACATTCTTAAGAATGTATGTGGTTTTTAGACCGGTGGTGGGTGTTGGTGTTGTTGTGATTTTGTGATTGATAGTTTTCGGATAGAGTGGAGAGAGGGAAGAGGACTGAGAATAAGAAATCTGCATCGAGGATAGCAGGGGCGGATTAGAAGCCCCCACTGCAATTTCAAAAAAAATTGGGGCTTAGTTAAAATTTTGAAAAAATAAAGTTTTTTTTTTTTTTTAAACCTTGCCCCCATCATAGTTTGTTAAAAAATTGAGGTTAATCCTATAATTTAGAAACTAAGTGAATTGCTTAAAATTTACTTCAAAAGTCCCCACGAGTCTTACGAGCCATGGCCGACTCTGTGTCTCTTCCTTCCCTGTTTCCTCTCCTGCCACCAAGCGAACCTAAACTTTGGGTTGTTGGGAAACCTAAATTCAAGCAACAACTAAAGTAACGAAGCCTACCTTGAGGATGAGTTTTTTTCCAAACTATGGAATTTGACACAGGAGTGTCCAAACATGTCGAGGGCTTAGCAAAATATAGATCATCAACTTTGTGTCCAATGCTTAAACTTCGACATTTCTTGTTTCTTGTCAAATTGTTTCATTCTCAAAAAAGGTACTTTTAAATCTTGTTTGTTGTATTTGGTCAGAAGTCTTTGTTTTTCATTAATTGGTGGTCCTGCAAATGTAAGTTACTACTACCTTTGTTCTGAGGGATTTTCCGAGACACATCCTGTAATATTCTCTAATCATATATGAGTTAGTAGAGATTGGAGAGTGTTATTTTGCAAAGAAACAGCCTTGGTCTTATTGAGAAGAATGATTTCGTATTGTTAAAGTCTTATCCTATTGGTTGATTCAAATTGGTGGTGAGTTTCGCTCTTTATCTCTTTGTAAGTTCCATTGAGCACCTACCTTTTCATTGGGTTGTTCATTGTGTTCCCACCTATTTGTCCACTTTTCTAGTGTCATTCACTATGACCCAAGGCAAACTAGTTCTTGCTTGCTTTTTTCCCAACGAATATGATGGCTAATCCAACAAATTTGAGAGTTTCTTGATATAAAGTAGCATGGTTTAGTCTTTGATTGCAAACTTAGTCAGGAGGGACTAGGCAGACATTGGTCAAAATAATGACAAGCTATCATCTTTTCCTTCCCATGTCAAAATTAGAAACCATATTGGCAGGAAAAATAAGTTTTCAGCAATAACTGAGCTTGTTGGCTATACTTCAGGTTAAGACTGATTAATATTTTCTACTTACATTTGCGTTTTAAACATTTGCATTTCAGCTGTATGTGGGCCAAAAAACAAAAATCATTTTGGTTGAGAGGTTTGATTGCCCTGGAAGTGGATTGTGGAAGTATACACTATGATGAAATGTTGCACTTTTACAAGCTCTAGACCAGGGGATGAGATTGTGGAAGTGTAGGCACTAGCTAATGGTTAGAAAGCTAATTTCCTGCTACAACAGCCATTTTCTAGTAGTTAACCAGCTAAGCATAAGTTTCAAATTTGTCTCATGAACCATTTTGTTGGGAACTTGATAAACACAATTGCCTTCATCAATTTAAGAATTTGAAGGAACTTGTAATCTAACATGGTGCCGAAGCTTTTGTTTTTATTTTTTAAGGCCTTGCATTCAAGTCTCCACAAATCTATCTGTTCCTGTGTTCAGTCAGTCCGTGTGTTAGTTGTATGATCTGCAGTGGGTTTATGTTTTTGTCTCTCGAGCAAAAGGAATCAACACATTAAAGAGGAGGGCGGGGGGAGGTTTTGAGCTTGTTATGCATTGTTGGTTATATACTCTATCAGCTTATGCTTTTGGAGTTACCCGGAGGTAACCTAACACTTGTGAACATTGATGTTTCTTACACACATTAAAATACCTTTGTAAATTTAAAAAAAAAACGATGGAGCCAGGTTCATCTCAATTTTCCTTGCGTCTTTGCCATTTTATGGTTACTTCCTTTACAAGTTCTCTAAACGATGGCACTGATAGAAATGTTTACAGATTTGTGAAGCAGAGATTGCATCTTCGAGTCAGCAGAAAAAGATAGAAGAACTTGAAGCACAACTTCAGGAAGCTGAGGACATCGTCAGAGACCTCAGAGAAGAGTTAAGACAAGTGCAGGCTGAATTGGAGAGGGAGTCAAACAACAAAATACATGTGGATGAACATGATACGGCTACTACAGAGGAAACATCGGAGGATCACACACTCTATACTTCTCAGTCTGTCATATTGCCTCATTCGGAATCACCCCGTGAATCTGTCCTAGTTTCTGACCTGAGAAATTTGAATTTGAGTCCTGGAAATGAGGTCAGTCATGATATTCCCTCCTTAGTATTAAGAAGCAAAGAGCCTGAGCTGTACAGAAATGGCTGCACCCAGAGAATTCGTGCATATGAGAGGAACTTGTTGAATGGGGAATTAAGTGTAAGTGAATATGAAGAAGGTAAGAGGATCTGTACAACACCCACTTATGTGGCTGACAATATGTGTACTACAGAGAAGAAAGGAGGGGTACTGACAGATTCCAGATTTGTCAGCTGGTACCAAGTTCAGGCTGGTAAGTGTTTTCGTAGAAAAAGGAAGAGAACTACCAGATATAAGAAAAACAGAACGCCCTCCTGGTGGTTTCTTCCTGAACAAGCTATTAAGACGGACCAAACACCTGCTATAACTTGTTTGAGAACTCATCCAAATTTGGTTATTAACAATGCTCAGTCCATTGAACGACCCTCTCAGATGGCCCCACAATTAACCTCAGATTCAACTCAAATGAGCACGCGGCTGGGATTTGCCAAAACTGATGTATGTGGTGGAGATTGTGTTAAAGCTTGTGGTGTTCAAAGCACAATAAACAAGGATGATATATTGACAGATAAATTGCCAATGAGACAGGAAGTTGGATCTACAGAGATTTCAGAAGTTCCAGTTGGTAGAATGAATCTTGATAAAGATGATGTGCCATTAATAAATTCAAATGGATCAAAAGCTTCTGATACAACCCATACAATTCATAGTCAACCTTTGAATGATAGGATTATCAAGTACACATTCCAAAGAAAGCGGAAAAAAGTGTCTTTTAGTGGCTCTGATGGGAATGCCTCTGTTGAAAATAGCACTTTGAAGAGGACAGAGGAGAAACAACCTGGTTCAATGGAGCCACAAAAGTCGAGCTTGATAACAGAATCATCAAGGGACAGTCGGCGATTGGCGCAGGTTGCTCGTCAGGTTGGTAATATGTCTTTTGTGTATGTCTATGCACTTGTGTCTCACGGTTCAAAATTCTCATCTCGAGACTATGTTTTTTTTCAATCAAAAATCGAAACCTCTCGGAAACATTCATTTGTATCAACAACTGGAAAAATTTTGTAACATTGAGGGTTTGCAGTGATAGACATTTGTCATTCTCGTGCCCGAAGCACTTGCATCTCATGGTGTTTCAATTTATAATGAAAAACTGAATGGCAGTGTAGGTCAAGTCCACATGCTATCAATTCACAAAGTTGAGGGTGCAAATTAAGATTTTTATTGTTTGAGGGTTCAAATTGAGAATCGAAATATCTTTTGGGATACAAAGTGAGATTAGCCCAAAATTTTTTGATACACTTGGGAACAAGGGGTCAGGTGTGATCAAAGTTAGGCTCTTTTTTGGTGCAGCCCATAATCCTGCCCTTCATTCAGATGGGATTAGAATTTGATCAGATTGATTGTAACATTTTAAACCATTGGATCTAGGGGTCAAACTTATACCCACTGAGATCACTTCCTATTTTTAATGGTAACTGGTAAGTGAGACACTTCACATTAGATTCGAAATCTGTTGGTGGTTGACATGTGGTACCTCTACATCTGCAAGTGGGTTGAAGGTCTTACAAATATAAAATATAGCGCTTGGCTTCCGTTAAAGTATATTGTGTCATTGACGTTTCGATCAATTCGGGTGAAAGGCATTATTTTTCAGTCAAAACCTTTTTTTCTTTGAAAGTATTTTTGTAGTTCGTCTGCAATACAATTAAGAACGTGTCTATGTAAATATGCATCACTGATATTGCTCTGATTAATGCCTCTACAACTTTTGATAATTGTGAGGTCCGGTCTGGTTGGTAGCATTGCAAGTTGTGCTGGTAATGGTTAGTATTAATGCCAGCCCAGCTAGTTTTTCTAGTCTATTTGTTAACTGGACATTATTTCCATTTTTGGCAAGTAAGACTAAATATGTTTTCTGATTTTAATGGATGCATAATCTGGCTTTCCATTATTACTCTACTTATGTCTCAATCAAATGTCGTGAATTTAGATAATTCTTGTGCTTTGAGGGATCAATGTGGGACGTTGGCGATCTTATGATAGCATATGCTATATGGAGGGGAAGAAATAAAAAGGATTTTCAGGAATATGCAAAGATTGACAAAAGTATCCCAAGGCTCTCATTGTGAATTCTGACTTTTTCTTGCTTTCATTCACTTTTAACTTTCAGAGTCCACATTGTAGATTTTTGTAGAGTTTGGGATTTTCGTGTAGTATAAACAGTGCCACATGTTATCTTTGTTGTCTTCTTTTTTATTTGTTTGTTTGTATTCATTATGTACATATCCTTCCTGTATACAAATGAGATTGCTTATTTTTACGATCATTTTTTGGTATTCAGTGTTTACTAAATATGTGACTAAGTTGTAACAACATGTTAACATTTGCTTTGTGTCTTACTTCAAATCTTTTGGGTTGTTCTTATGTGCAGCTAATATCTTTATCAGAGAAAAAATGGTGGCAGTAATCATTTGGTAACTTCGTGCATTCAAACAGTGAGGTCGTTGAACTTGGAAGGAGAGCAAATCAAAAAGTCCTTTCAGCAATGTAATTCTGAATCCTGCGAATGGCCAATTGCTTTATCATGGGAGTTGTAGATCCTTGAGTTGATAAGTTATGGGCATTATGTTGGATAAGTCATTATCACTGTTGTATTATTTCGATGTCTCTCTCCTTCAGAGGCCATAAAATGCTCAAATTGACTGATTTTTGGTGGTGGCTTCTACCATTGAGTAGCTTTATTGGGGAGTTTATACTGTTTTAATTAGGGCATTCTCCTTCACTGGGCCATAAGTTGTTGAAATTGACTTATTTTTAGGAGTAGTTTCCACCTTTGAGCGGGTTATATTGGGGAAGGATTGGGGAAGGAACGGTTATATATATGGTTACATATATGCACATATATATATATAGCTTTACTGAGGTCATCCGCAGGGAGCTCTGAATTGTCTGTGTAAAGCTTGCAGAAAATTGAGCATGCGGGTTTATCAATTTTCGTCTAATTACCTCTCTACTTAATATTGAAGAACAAACAAGAGAAGATATTGTATCTCTTTGTTGCAGCTTCAATTCTAGTTTGGAATCACAGCTGGTGTTGCTTTTGTGCTGATGAATTGAAGGAAAATGGGAAGGATTCGAAGAATGGTGTGGATCAACCAGAATAGGTATGCAAGTAAGTCTTTGCGAATCGAATCCTAGAATCTCGTCTGATTTCTGGATTTTGAAAAGTGCAGATTTTCAAAAACAAGAATCTTTTGTGACTTTCATCTACTTCTAAAACCTATCTTGATGCATGAAAGTTGGATCGGTTGGCCCTGTATTTTTAACTAAGGTCACTTGCTTGATTTGGAAGCAAAACTTGATGCATGTTTTTGACTGAGCTTCTTGGTATTGCCCTTGCAGTTGGATCCTTTAAGCTACAGAAAGGTCTGTTCAGTTATGTCCAGACAGCAGTAGAAGCTTTTCTTCTTGTTATGGTAATGGCTGAAGCCTATTGCTAATACCAATTTTGGTTGCTAGGTAGAGTTAGTGTTCTATTTCGGTGCTGCTTCCTGGTCATGGAGTTTTTGAGGATTTGCATGGTGTTATTGAATTTTGCTTGCTGGAAACTTCACTACCTGCGAAGGGGTTCTTGTTTCGGGGTTTTCTGATCGGGTCACGGTTTATTGAGTTGAGTGCCTGTTCAACTCAACACGCCATGACCCGAGCAGGAAATTGACACTATTTTTGGATGGAAGCGAAAACCAAACAGGAGAGAAAGAGAAAATAAAAAGGGGGGGGGGGGGGGGGGGGGGGGGTGGAACATTCATAACGAAATTTGGGACAAGATCTCTCAAATTTGGCCAAAACATGTAGAATACAAATTGAATTTCACTTGAATCATTCAAATTTGGGCATAACCATTAAGTGAGAAAATAAGGGTACGATACAAATTGAATTCATTCAAATCATGGCAAAATTTGGGCGCATGATATCAAAATCAATGGAAATCGCTTTGTTAGTCTAAATGTCTATCAAATTCAAGTTACCATTGCAAAATGAGAATCGTAACGTAATAAATATAGTCATATTATTTTAAATCAATAATACACGAGAATTTGAAGTTTGTACGGCTTATTCGATTGGCAAGTCCTCAGTACAAATTACTAAATTCAGCCCATTTTGGAGTCACAATCATTTACCAATTTTCTATTTTTCCTTTCCATTTTCAAAGAGAGTTGCAAAACTTTACACAATAAAATGGGAAATAAAGATAAAAGAAAATGGAAACAAAAATAGAATGATAAATTACACTTTAACCCTAAACTATCAATTCAATTTCACTTTATCCCTTAAACTACTAAGTCTTTTACATTACACCCGTAATTACTTGAATTATTTTACATTGTCCCAAAAGTAAATTTTTTTTTGGGGAAGGGGAAGGGAGATTTGAACCCTTGACCTCAATAAAACAAAATTTTCATAAGATAAGGAGTACTATTAGACCAAAAATTCATTAGTTTGGCCCAAAAATAAATCTTTTATTTTCTGGATGAAAATTATTAACATGTTGATACAAAGTTAAAAAAAATCACATAGTTTGGAAGAAAAAAAAAACTTAGTGTAAAAATTTATAACAGACATTAATTATTGAGTTAATGTGAAACTAATCACATAATTAAAAGTGTAATGTGAAATATATGATAGTAAAGGACATAATGTAAAAAAAATCAAAGTTGAAAGGTCAAACTATTATTTATCAAAAATAACAATACCACTACCAAGTGCACCAAAAACCCTCTGGTCCAAGTCCAACATCAGAATGTGAAAACCCCAGTCCCCTCTCGCGCCATCACCATTGGAGGGTTTTGTAGTTTGGGTCTTGATGATACCTCAAATAAGTTATAAGAGTGAGCTCAAGAAACGAGGTCAAGTTAGGAGGTCAGGTAGGATACGAGAAGTTCAAAAGTTCAGAGCTAAAGNTAATATTGAAGAACAAACAAGAGAAGATATTGTATCTCTTTGTTGCAGCTTCAATTCTAGTTTGGAATCACAGCTGGTGTTGCTTTTGTGCTGATGAATTGAAGGAAAACGGGAAGGATTCGAAGAATGGTGTGGATCAACCAGAATAGGTATGCAAGTAAGTCTTTGCGAATCGAATCCTAGAATCTCGTCTGATTTCTGGATTTTGAAAAGTGCAGATTTTCAAAAACAAGAATCTTTTGTGACTTTCATCTACTTCTAAAACCTATCTTGATGCATGAAAGTTGGATCGGTTGGCCCTGTATTTTTAACTAAGGTCACTTGCTTGATTTGGAAGCAAAACTTGATGCATGTTTTTGACTGAGCTTCGTGATATTGCCCTTGCAGTTGGATCCTTTAAGCTACAGAAAGGTCTGTTCAGTTATGTCCAGACAGCAGTAGAAGCTTTTCTTCTTGTTATGGTAATGGCTGAAGCCTATTGCTAATACCAATTTTGGTTGCTAGGTAGAGTTAGTGTTCTATTTCGGTGCTGCTTCCTGGTCATGGAGTTTTTGAGGATTTGCATGGTGTTATTGAATTTTGCTTGCTGGAAACTTCACTACCTGCGAAGGGGTTCTTGTTTCGGGGTTTTCTGATCGGGTCATGGTTTATTGAGTTGAGTGCCTGTTCAACTCAACACGCCATGACCCGAGCAGGAAATTGACACTATTTTTGGATGGAAGCGAAAACCAAACAGGAGAGAAAGAGAGAANTTAGTCTAAATGTCTATCAAATTCAAGTTACCATTGCAAAATGAGAATCGTAACGTAATAAATATAGTCATATTATTTTAAATCAATAATACACGAGAATTTGAAGTTTGTACGGCTTATTCGATTGGCAAGTCCTCAGTACAAATTACTAAAGTCAGCCCATTTTGGAGTCACAATCATTTACCAATTTTCTATTTTTCCTTTCCATTTTCAAAGAGAGTTGCAAAACTTTACACAATAAAATGGGAAATAAAGATAAAAGAAAATGGAAACAAAAATAGAATGATAAATTACACTTTAACCCTAAACTATCAATTCAATTTCACTTTATCCCTTAAACTACTAAGTCTTTTACATTACACCCGTAATTACTTGAATTATTTACATTGTCCCAAAAGTAAATTTTTTTTTGGGGAAGGGGAAGGAAGATTTGAACCCTGACCTCAATAAAACAAAATTTTCATAAGATAAGAAGTACTATTAGACCAAAAATTCATTAGTTTGGCCCAAAAATAAATCTTTTATTTTTCTGGACGAAAATTATTAACATGTTGATACAAAGTTAAAAAAAATCACATAGTTTGGAAGAAAAAAAAAAACTTAGTGTAAAAATTTATAACAGACATTAATTATTGAGTTAATGTGAAACTAATCACATAATTAAAAGTGTAATGTGAAATATATGATAGTAAAGGACATAATGTAAAAAAAATCAAAGTTGAAAGGTCAAACTATTATTTATCAAAAATAACAATACCACTACCAAGTGCACCAAAAACCCTCTAGTCCAAGTCCAACATCAGAATGTGAAAACCCCAGTCCCCTCTCGCGCTATCACCATTGGAGGGTTTTGTAGTTTGGGTCTTGATGGTACCTCAAATAAGTTATAAGAGTGAGTTCAGGAAACAAGGTCAAGTTAGGAGGTCAGGTAGGATACGAGAAGTTCAAAAGTTCAGAGCTAAAGCTCCCCTTGGGGAGATGGTAGGAGAATTGACCAGGGAACAGCTGAATAAACTGCGAAAATTGGGTTCAAAACATGAAACTCTCAATCAACTAAGATTCTCTCTTAAAATCAAGGAGAATCCTACTAATGACAGGCAAAGATCTCGGCTGAGATCTTACAGAACAGGGAATAGTCGTATAAATACTATGTAGCGCCTCCATAGAGAGGCAGGATGAAGAAAAAAACCCTAATTTCGAGATATACCGGATTGTAATGCATTTGTGCAGTGAATAAGACAACAAGAGGAAGAGCCTCCGTTGAAGAGTGGACAAACCGAGCTCCTGAGTCGGTGAACCACTATATTTTCGCTGTGTGCACCTATTTAATTCCCTCAGTATTTCGCAGTAGCATCACACACGAGCCTTATAGCTCTGATTCATGCTCATCACACGTCACCTGCACTTTTTGCTCATTANCATAATCTGGCTTTCCATTATTACTCTACTTATGTCTCAATCAAATGTCGTGAATTTAGATAATTCTTGTGCTTTGAGGGATCAATGTGGGACGTTGGCGATCTTATGATAGCATATGCTATATGGAGGGGAAGANCGTAATCTGGCTTTCCATTATTACTCTACTTATGTCTCAATCAAATGTCGTGAATTTAGATAATTCTTGTGCTTTGAGAGATCAATGTGGGACGTTGGCGATCTTATGATAGCATATGCTATATGGAGGGGAAGAAATAAAAAGGATTNGAGAACGACTATTCCTGTTACAAGTACACTGATCTTTCAGTAATTGATGGTTTTCACGCGTAATATGAGCAGAAGCCAAACGAATCCCCCAAGGGTGCAGAATCAGCAAGAAAATCTTCATGACTTCATGCCTACGACCGAGGATAATCCCCCTGTAGCANGAAATAAAAAGGATTTTCAGGAATATGCAAAGATTGACAAAAGTATCCCAAGGCTCTCATTGTGAATTCTGACTTTTTCTTGCTTTCATTCACTTTTAACTTTCAGAGTCCACATTGTAGATTTTTGTAGAGTTTGGGATTTTCGTGTAGTATAAACAGTGCCACATGTTATCTTTGTTGTCTTCTTTTTTATTTGTTTGTTTGTATTCATTATGTACATATCCTTCCTGTATACAAATGAGATTGCTTATTTTTACGATCATTTTTTGGTATTCAGTGTTTACTAAATATGTGACTAAGTTGTAACAACATGTTAACATTTGCTTTGTGTCTTACTTCAAATCTTTTGGGTTGTTCTTATGTGCAGCTAATATCTTTATCAGAGAAAAAATGGTGGCAGTAATCATTTGGTAACTTCGTGCATTCAAACAGTGAGGTCGTTGAACTTGGAAGGAGAGCAAATCAAAAAGTCCTTTCAGCAATGTAACTCTGAATCCTGCGAATGGCCAATTGCTTTATCATGGGAGTTGTAGATCCTTGAGTTGATAAGTTATGGGCATTATGTTGGATAAGTCATTATCACTGTTGTATTATTTCGATGTCTCTCTCCTTCAGAGGCCATAAAATGCTCAAATTGACTGATTTTTGGTGGTGGCTTCTACCATTGAGTAGCTTTATTGGGGAGTTTATACTGTTTTAATTAGGGCATTCTCCTTCACTGGGCCATAAGTTGTTGAAATTGACTTATTTTTAGGAGTAGTTTCCACCTTTGAGCGGGTTATATTGGGGAAGGATTGGGGAAGGAACGGTTATATATATGGTTACATATATGCACATATATATATATAGCTTTACTGAGGTCATCCGCAGGGAGCTCTGAATTGTCTGTGTAAAGCTTGCAGAAAATTGAGCATGCGGGTTTATCAATTTTCGTCTAATTACCTCTCTACTTAATATTGAAGAACAAACAAGAGAAGATATTGTATCTCTTTGTTGCAGCTTCAATTCTAGTTTGGAATCACAGCTGGTGTTGCTTTTGTGCTGATGAATTGAAGGAAAATGGGAAGGATTCGAAGAATGGTGTGGATCAACCAGAATAGGTATGCAAGTAAGTCTTTGCGAATCGAATCCTAGAATCTCGTCTGATTTCTGGATTTTGAAAAGTGCAGATTTTCAAAAACAAGAATCTTTTGTGACTTTCATCTACTTCTAAAACCTATCTTGATGCATGAAAGTTGGATCGGTTGGCCCTGTATTTTTAACTAAGGTCACTTGCTTGATTTGGAAGCAAAACTTGATGCATGTTTTTGACTGAGCTTCTTGGTATTGCCCTTGCAGTTGGATCCTTTAAGCTACAGAAAGGTCTGTTCAGTTATGTCCAGACAGCAGTAGAAGCTTTTCTTCTTGTTATGGTAATGGCTGAAGCCTATTGCTAATACCAATTTTGGTTGCTAGGTAGAGTTAGTGTTCTATTTCGGTGCTGCTTCCTGGTCATGGAGTTTTTGAGGATTTGCATGGTGTTATTGAATTTTGCTTGCTGGAAACTTCACTACCTGCGAAGGGGTTCTTGTTTCGGGGTTTTCTGATCGGGTCACGGTTTATTGAGTTGAGTGCCTGTTCAACTCAACACGCCATGACCCGAGCAGGAAATTGACACTATTTTTGGATGGAAGCGAAAACCAAACAGGAGAGAAAGAGAAAATAAAAAGGGGGGGGGGGGGGGGGGGGGGGGGTGGAACATTCATAACGAAATTTGGGACAAGATCTCTCAAATTTGGCCAAAACATGTAGAATACAAATTGAATTTCACTTGAATCATTCAAATTTGGGCATAACCATTAAGTGAGAAAATAAGGGTACGATACAAATTGAATTCATTCAAATCATGGCAAAATTTGGGCGCATGATATCAAAATCAATGGAAATCGCTTTGTTAGTCTAAATGTCTATCAAATTCAAGTTACCATTGCAAAATGAGAATCGTAACGTAATAAATATAGTCATATTATTTTAAATCAATAATACACGAGAATTTGAAGTTTGTACGGCTTATTCGATTGGCAAGTCCTCAGTACAAATTACTAAATTCAGCCCATTTTGGAGTCACAATCATTTACCAATTTTCTATTTTTCCTTTCCATTTTCAAAGAGAGTTGCAAAACTTTACACAATAAAATGGGAAATAAAGATAAAAGAAAATGGAAACAAAAATAGAATGATAAATTACACTTTAACCCTAAACTATCAATTCAATTTCACTTTATCCCTTAAACTACTAAGTCTTTTACATTACACCCGTAATTACTTGAATTATTTACATTGTCCCAAAAGTAAATTTTTTTTTGGGGAAGGGGAAGGAAGATTTGAACCCTGACCTCAATAAAACAAAATTTTCATAAGATAAGAAGTACTATTAGACCAAAAATTCATTAGTTTGGCCCAAAAATAAATCTTTTATTTTTCTGGACGAAAATTATTAACATGTTGATACAAAGTTAAAAAAAATCACATAGTTTGGAAGAAAAAAAAAAACTTAGTGTAAAAATTTATAACAGACATTAATTATTGAGTTAATGTGAAACTAATCACATAATTAAAAGTGTAATGTGAAATATATGATAGTAAAGGACATAATGTAAAAAAAATCAAAGTTGAAAGGTCAAACTATTATTTATCAAAAATAACAATACCACTACCAAGTGCACCAAAAACCCTCTGGTCCAAGTCCAACATCAGAATGTGAAAACCCCAGTCCCCTCTCGCGCCATCACCATTGGAGGGTTTTGTAGTTTGGGTCTTGATGATACCTCAAATAAGTTATAAGAGTGAGCTCAAGAAACGAGGTCAAGTTAGGAGGTCAGGTAGGATACGAGAAGTTCAAAAGTTCAGAGCTAAAGCTCCCCTTGGGGAGATGGTAGGAGAATTGACCAGGGAACAGCTGAATAAACTGCGAAAATTGGGTTCAAAACATGAAACTCTCAATCAACTAAGATTCTCTCTTAAAATCAAGGAGAATCCTACTAATGACAGGCAAAGATCTCGGCTGAGATCTTACAGAACAGGGAATAGTCGTATAAATACTATGTAGCGCCTCCATAGAGAGGCAGGATGAAGAAAAAAACCCTAATTTCGAGATATACCGGATTGTAATGCATTTGTGCAGTGAATAAGACAACAAGAGGAAGAGCCTCCGTTGAAGAGTGGACAAACCGAGCTCCTGAGTCGGTGAACCACTATATTTTCGCTGTGTGCACCTATTTAATTCCCTCAGTATTTCGCAGTAGCATCACACACGAGCCTTATAGCTCTGATTCATGCTCATCACACGTCACCTGCACTTTTTGCTCATTAACGTGGTCATACGCCATCAGTTTGGCGCCGTCTGTGAGAACGACTATTCCTGTTACAAGTACACTGATCTTTCAGTAATTGATGGTTTTCACGCGTAATATGAGCAGAAGCCAAACGAATCCCCCAAGGGTGCAGAATCAGCAAGAAAATCTTCATGACTTCATGCCTACGACCGAGGATAATCCCCCTGTAGCAGATCCTCCAACAAACAATGAACTGGACGCCCTCCGTCAGGTCAACCAATGCTTACTTCGACAGAATGAAGACCTCCTGAAGCTTTTACAAGGTCGTCAGCAAGCACAACTGGCTTAGCAAGGCTAGAATGATCCCCCTCGCAGGGGGCAGCAACACCTCAACCCTCTCAGAGAAGCAGAAGAAGGAGGTGAAAATAGTCAGGCTTCTCATCCACCCCCCAGGGTTGATGACAATGAAGAGGCACGGAGTCAAGAGAAAAATGATTTTCTCCCTTTCCAACACGAAATGATGGAACAATATTAGGAGCAACCCTTTAAGGACATCCAGCAAGAGCTCAGCCTCATGAAGGAAGCAGTGAAAGGTAAGACTCCAGTAACAATGGATACATTGGTGCAAAAAATCGAATCCCCATTCACTGTTGGGGTGTTGCAATTTTTCCTCCCTCCTAAATTCAGAATGCCTCAGATAGAAGCTTTTAATGGGACAAAAGATCCAGTAGACCACATTAACACTTATAAAAATCAGATGGAGTTGCATGGATACCAAGATCCAGTGCGATGTAGGGCCTTTGCCATCACTTTGAAGGGCTCAGCCACAACGTGGTTCAATAGGTTCCCCTCAGCCTCGATTTCCTCCTTTAAAGAGCTCTCTATCTCCTTCATATCCCATTTCATCGGAGCTCAGATCTATAGGAAGCCAAGCTACCATTTGTTGAATGTGAAGCAAGGACCTGACGAGAACCTTCGATCTTATGTCCAGAGGTTCAACTCAGAATCTCTGAAGGTAGACGTCCCAGACGAGAAGTTTGCCATCACTACTTTCATCGCAGGACTTGGAGTGCAATCAAAGGACCTGATGTTCTCTATCTCGAAGAATTCTCAGGCAAGTATGGCAGAGGTACTGGCCAAAGCAGAAAAATATATAAATGGTGAGGAAGCGCTCCTCTCTAAGGTGGGGGGGCTTTTCATCACGAAAGGAGAAAGGAAAAGAAGAGGGATCGAAGTCCTAGAAAAGAAAGAGAACGAGACAGATCCCAAGAAGAGACAGAGACTGCTCCCCGAAGAGAAGAGGAAATGTTAGGAATCGCTTAGGCCCTCCACAGCCAGAACTACAGCCGAGGTATGCACCTTGGCAATTCACCCCTCTAACTACCATGGTGTCTCAAATCCTGTATGAGGTACAGAATGGGAAGTTTTTAAGATGGCCACCCCGGATGAAGACAGATCCAGCAAAGAGGGACCCCACAAAGTATTGTGACTACCACAGAGACCATGACTATCACACCGACGATTGCATACAATTAAAGAAAGAAATAGAGTTCATAATCCAGCGGGGGCAGTTACGTCGCTTTGTGGCCAATCATAATCAAAATCGAGCTCTCCCCACCTCCACCACCTCAGCAGCAAGCACCGGAACCACATCAGCAGCCTATGGGGGAGATCAAAGTGATAGCTGGAGGATTCGTTGGAGGAGGAGAATCCAGCTCAGCCAGAAAGGCTCACTTGCGAAGAATCAGAGCCGGAGAAGCTCCTGAAGTGTATGCTGTGCTAAAGCTCCACGTCTAGACACAACTATCACTTTCTCAGACTCAGACCTGGAGGGTTGTCAACATCCCCATGATGATCCATTGGTGGTAAGAGTTGTGGTAGCCAACAGGACTGTTCATCAGATTTTGATTGACAATGGCAGTTCGACAGACATCATTTTCACCTCCGCTTTCGACAAGATGGATATAGGAAGGGAAAAACTCGAGCCAGTAAGTGCTCACTTGTTGGAATATTTAGGAGAAAGGGTGCTACCCCTGGGATCAATCCAGCTCATCCTAACCTTAGGTGATCCCCCCTGCCATACCACAACAACTGTAAGGTTCTTGGTGGTCGATGCACCTTCTGCGTACAACATACTCCTTGGGAGGCCTTCGCTCAACTTTATGAGGGCTATCCTTTCTGCTTATCACCTCGTGGTGAATTTTTCAATAGAAAACGAAGTTGGAGTGGTCCGAGGAGACCAGCGTGTGGCACAAAAATGCTACATGACATCTGTGAAAAAGAGGGAGATTGAGAACATCCAGCTGGATGAACTTGACATGAGAGATGAACTACAAACTAGACCAACACCATCAGAAGAGCTGGAACCTGTTCAATTAGACAAGGAGCCAGAGCACCTCGTCTACGTAGGATCTAAGCTAAGCAAAGAGATTAAAGACCTCCTTATCTAGTTCTTGAAAAAGAACATGGAATTTTTCGCTTGGAAGCAAGAAGACATGCAAGGAATTGATCCCTCCATCATCACTCATAAGCTTAGCATGAATCCTACCTACAAACCCATTAAGCAAAAGAGGAGGAGTTTCACTCCAGAACGCCAAGAAGCCATTAATGAGGAGGTCAGCAAGCTTTTTCACGCAAAAGCCATCTGGGAAGTAGACTACCCAGTTTGGCTAGCCAACGTGGTCCTCATCAAGAAGACAAATGGCAAATGACGCCTCTGCATCGACTTTACAGACCTCAATCGTGCCTGCCCTAAAGACAGTTTCCCATTACCTCGGATAGATTTGATTGTGGACGCCACCGCAGGGCACGAGCTCCTTAGCTTCATGGACGCTTTCTCTGGGTACAATCAGATTAGGATGGATCCTAATGGCCAATAGAAGATCTCTTTCATAACTGAGCAAGAGATGTACTGCTACTAGGTGATGTCTTTTAGGTTAAAGAACGTTGGAGCCACTTACCAGCGCCTGGTGAACAAAATGTTTCAAAAGCAGATTGGGACTACCATGGAGGTCTATATTGACAACATGTTGGTTAAGTCACTGAAGGCAAAGCTCCACGTTGGACATTTAGCCCAGTCATTCCAGGTTCTGAGGGAGTACAAGATAAAGCTTAACCCTGCTAAATGTGCCTTCGGGGTATCTGCAGGAAAATTTCTAGGTTTCATAGTTAATAGCAGAGGAGTAGAGGCAAACCCGGAGAAGGTGAAGGCGGTGTTGGATATGCAGCCTCCATCCAGCACAAGGGAAATACAACGATTGACTGGGAAAATAGCTGCCTTGAGTTGCTTCGTGTCCAGATCAAGCGACAAGTGTCAGCCCTTCTTTCAGATTTTAAAGAA